TCCTCCTCCTCTACCTCTACCTCTCCCTCTCTCTAGGCTTCGACACCGGCCCCGCCTTCTCCCGTGCGCTGCAGCAAAGTAACTAACAGAGAACGAGATGACCGGGACAAAAACGTCAAAGTGGCCGACTACAGCGCTCGCTGACGACCAGTCATCAGTGATGATAGGCTCTGCTAGCGCCCAGCAGTCCCGCGTGTTTGCCCCTAGCCGCTTGTGTCTCCCGTTTTCGTGGTCTGGCCGTTCGCCGCTGCCACGGACTGCGCCACAAACCGGCTCGATGACCACTGCTGTTGTTTGGGCTTAAGGGCGCGTCGACAACTGCGGTCATTTCGCGCCCAAGGCTTGGTGACTGCGACAACGCAGGCGGCCAGAGCTGTCTGGAGGCCGCCGACTGCGGCGGACCAGCAGGGCCATTATCTGGGCGCGAATCTGACCGCCGCGGCATGCACAAGCAGAAGACGCTGCGCAAGCGTCAGTGGTGAGAGAGCAAGCCGCCTTGGAAGGACTGTCGGCCTCCGGCCGCATCGGTGCGGGGTGCGAAGGCTCCAGTCCATCATCCTCGTCTGCACCGCTGTGACAGATGGCGTCGCACGCCACCGGTCGAGAGTTGACGACCACAGGTGAGACCACAGGTCAAGGACGCGCGTCACACAGCGCACAACCGTACTCCCGCAACTAACCACTGTAAAACAACAACCGTGGCCGACGCGACTGATCAGCGGCGTGATCTGACGTGGTACGCGGCAGGTCGCGTGCCGTCGCCGTAGTCGTCGGATCAAAGTCACATGAAGTCGATAGTGGCGTCACTTTGTGCGGGTGGTGCGTATCGCGAGAACTTCATTGTCTGGCGAGCGGGCCCGCGTGAGCGAGCAGCGCCAAGCGCTTGACAAGCGACAATCTGATGCGACGAAGGCCACCATCCGTTGGCATCGCATCCCCTTCTTACAGTAGTTATTCAATCCGGCTCAGTCCGTCAGTCTGCTTGGCTGATCGCCCCCGCGGTTATAAATAACTGCCCATCGACGAGGCGTCGCCGGTGGAGTGCGGGCGCTTATAAACGCGGGTAGTGTCACGTGAGATCAGCGGTCACAGCTGCTCCGTCTCCACGTCTGCTGCGTCGGGTTACGTGACGGGCGGGGGTCGCACGATGGTACGACCGACTACCCCTTCCCTCGGTGGCAGAATGGCTACAATTCGGCCTCACCGCGGGCCGTTCTTTACGGAACGGGCAAGCAGTGATACTATTCAACGCAGACGTGCAACTGCTAACTTACGACAGATTCGCGTTAAGGGTGGCATTACGATACAAAGTGCCTAACAGTGATTTCTGGACCAACCACACTCTGCGTGCAAAATGTTGGACCCGTTTAACTGCTATGCAATTGCTGATGACTGGGTTCAATGATCTGAACATTTGTCACTGGACCCGCTCGTTTATTGATATAGTTGGCACTATAACAGGCGAGTGGAAGCGCACAGCGGAGTGTGTGCGCTGTCCTGCTATCGAAAGTGAACTGCCGCAAGAGACTAGTACGCTGACGCGGTCCGCGGTCACAACTATATAAATGAAAAGAAACTGCAATGGGCTGCCTGTTCAGATCTATACGAGCCGTGGGAGTCACCGCTCAGTCTTCGCGAAACTTGGGCCGTCCTAGCCATCCGCCTGATATACTGTCAGCTCTAGAGCCGATGCCTTCGGTTTCCGGTACCGAAACTTAAACAAGTCTAAAAAAGCTGCTTGATCACACCACTATCATCCATTCCTTCAGAGCATAGTCCAATATGTGACGATAAACAGATCTCCGATGGACATGAGAGTGTCGTTGTAAGTACAAGGCAAACAGACATCAAACAGGGCGCGGAAGCAGCTTGTGATGAGCTGTCAGGACAGTTCAAGTGGTGTTACTGGGGTCACTGGGTCAGGATCTATGAGCCCTGACCATGGCAGGTTGCCTTCAGTTATGGAGATGGGTGTGGTATGCATAACACTGACCAGGTTGGTTGTGATGCATGCCCCTTGTCAACTTTGACCTGTGACACTAGACTGCCCAAATTTTACCCATAGTACCTAACTGGCTGGTTTTGCCTGATGACATCCTACTGGCTGCCTGTCCCCACAGTGGTTGACAAGCTGGCATTGACCCATGGTCAAGGCAGTCAATGGCTTTCAGAGTTTGACCCATAGTATCTAGCTAGTTAACAAAACCTGTTCAGGCATGATTATATTGGACTCTTTTCTTTAAAAAATAGCACAGAAAAAAATGTAAATGCATGCATTACTACATGTAGATATAGCAGAGTGTGCATATATATTGGTATTGAGTATACATACATAATTTCACATTTAAATTATATGTTGGTAAATAGTAAAAATCACCACTGCAAGGTGAAGCATTATAGCTTAGATTCATATACAGCATTTGAATGGCATGCATCACTAAGTAAATATGCACCACAAAGCATACACAGTTATGGTATATATTTTATACACTTCTCATGTTTCAGTTATATATAAGTGAGAGGTAATAATCACCATTGCAAGATGAAACATGGTAGCCTAGTATTTCAAAATGTAGTGAAACACACAATAAATTAGGAGCTGATATACTACACATATTATCTATTGATTTTATATATTGGGCTAAAAATGCTTGGGCACAAAAATGTTGGCAGCACTTATGAAAAGTTCAAAGAATGAATGCACCAAATATAAAATATTTTATCATCTAAAAGCACTGTTAAGTGCTAAGAGCCATTTTCACAAATGTAACAAATGTCAGATACTCATTGGTCCATGCCAAATACATGCTCAGTGTACAACATATCACATGTGGCAACTTGACATACTTACCTCAAAACAGTAAAGCAAAATGCAAATCACTAGTCAGTTAAAATTTGTCTCATATGTACAGGATAAAACATCACACAATCTCCTACCCATCAGATGGATGCAATTATATGCAGCACAGGAAGGATGGGTAATCCTGAAAATATATTGCTCATCTACCCTGATTACAATTACTCCAATCCACACTCATGCCATTCTAAACTTGTGTATTTACCTTTATTTAGATTATACCATCTGTGTATTAGCACAATTTGGTGAGCTAAAAAACAAAACAGGAAGATGCAAGCCAACAAAGCACAGGCAAAAGAGAGGTGCCTGGTAGACCCCCTAATCACTAGAATACAGTGCTTGGGTGTACTGCACTAACAAGATGGCATGTGCCTGGAACCCAAAAGACCTCAAGATTCCAGCTAATCCAACCAGATCCCACCAGAATCCTGTAATCACAGAGCCCTTTGGGGCCCTGCATCTCCTTGGGGTCCACACACATGTTTGAAATAAAGGCATATGATGGGAAATTACAACAATGATATTTATGTCCAGTACACAGGAACTGATGCAATGACATTTGGACGTTGCATCTGCACAATACTAATTCTCTGGATGTGCATAATATTAGAAATAAATCCTTCTTCAAGTTTTTGGTACAAAAACTCTTCAGAATCAGTTGTCTGATCGGAGCCAACAATAACGTACGTACAATATCCCAATTCACCTACCTTAATAGTCCCAGGCACTAAAAATATTGCAGAGAACGCGTTTCTGTCGGCAGACCTCTCAGCAACGAGCAGGCAGATGCGTCCAAGCAACAAGCTTCTTCTATAATTTCATCTCTTAAAGCCAAATCAACTTCCACCTCTTCAGCTGGTCTCCCTCACCAAAGACCATGCGCGCCAACCCGCTTACTTTCACCAACACAACACGCTCTACGGCGGCCCGGCCTCACTCCCCCTTCTCAGCCTCGAGCTCAAGACCCTGAAGTGAAAAGGTTAGTCGATAAATGTCATGGCCTTCTCCTAGCCATTCTAGTAGGGCACACCGGCCGTTTTTGAGACAATTTTTGTCTTTTCTTTCGCTAGTTCCTAAATATCATTCCACATAGTGTTTTTCAGGCCGATTTATAGCAAAATACTTAAAAGAGTATGTATGATATTAACAAGCAGCACATCACATATAATTAAATCTGACCATCTAGAGCCAGTTACGGATAGTAGACAGCTTAAAGCCAAACAGCTGATCAAAAGGATTTTACCAGATGGCCGCATTTATGTTCGTTCTTGGCGCTCATGATACAAAATATTACAGGCCGAGCACAGCGTTTATTCTACAATTCGCCTCAGTAGAGGAAACTTACATTGGTCAAGATGCAGTTTAATTACGCATTCGTTGCTTTGATTCGGCGAAACAGTGCATTCTATGCAATAAACTTGTGTCAAAACCGAGCAGAGTCGCCGTCATTCTCGGTTGCGCTCTCATGTTTGTTTTGCCTCTTGCGTCAATAGGAACTTGTCTCAAGTGTATTGTTAAGTAAGATCGTATATGGTCGTGGGAGAAGGGTGGACCTAATTTGGGCTTTCTGGAAAAGAAACTGAGCCTAAGGCAGTGGTGGGAAATCTGCAGGGACAGTGGAACCCCTCTCGATTTAGCGCTGTAACGTTGAAGTAAGATAATAACCATTTTTGGTTATTCCATCCAGTCAATGCTGGTAATTCCAGTGTGAAATTTTCAAAAAGTTGGAAGCTCAGCCTCTTGGCCCTGCTCTCTGCACCACTAGACCCCTCAATAAGAGCAGGTAATTAATATGGTGAGGTCTCAAACCACCTTCAGCCAAAGGTGGTATGTCAAGCAATTTAACCAATAAATTTCCCACCTACACACAACTATAGTCAGTATGTGAGTCATGTGCTGTGTTACCCACACTCATGTTGCCTACAGTATGTTGCTTGAACTGGTCTTAAAACTGGTGAAAGTATTGACGAGATGCTCAGTTAACCTCAACACTTGATACATGGGGCCATACCACTATTGTAATGAGATCTCATTGAGAATCCCATGGTTTGCAGATCGACCTTTAACGTACTATTGTTTAACACAGCTGGGCTGTGTTCCTCATTGGCAAAGTACCTGCTTGAGTTGCTACCTATGACATCACAAGTACCTACGTTATACATAAGTTACTAACTCCAAGGTGTGAGGGCTGTTGTGACAAACTTATGTCTGACATCACAGGCTGCAACTTGTGGACAGCTGTGGTAATGGGGAACACAGGCCTTATATCATGAGCAGCACTAACATACATGACCTATCTAAGTCATGTGTGCAGGTGCCAGACATGGTAGCAAGAGCTGAGGCTGTTCTTCCTTTCCAGATTGAATTTTTGCTACACACTTTAGATATTCTCCCAAGCAGTAAAGTTTTTAAATGTTTCTTTTTCAGCATAAAGTGTGCCTGTTAGATATAAGGTATTAGGCATGCACCATGTAGTATGGTTTCTTGTACAAGGGTGAAGGGTATGTGATGTAGGTGATGCAGCAATGCTAAACAATACTTGTTCATTTTGACCAAGAACACTCTTGCTGCATGACCCTGCTCTGTCCCCCTTACAGAATCCAGGTAATGGATAACATATACAGGTGTGAAAGTAATATGATCAATTTGTTGACATTGGAAAATTATTTGGTCAAAAAAGAACAGGTATATATTTTGTCATAACAAATAAATATACAAATTTATTAATATATTTGAAATGATTCAAATTATATTATTCTGTAATGCATTTCAGTGTTGAAGATGGTGAAGTACTGGTACATTTCCTGTTCATGCTGTAAATGCATGATACTTAAAACATTGCAGTTTAAGCCAACAACCTTAGAACATGCATCTTCAGTCTCAATTTATCACCATGTACATATGTATTCTTAAGCCATTTGCTTTTCAGTTCAAGATCTTGAACCCATGGTTAAATGTTTGGCATGACCATTTTGGCCAGCTCATTTCTGTGATGATTGTTTTGTGCAAGTCCACAAGAAGCCCCTTTCTGATTAAGAAAGAAATTCCTGTTACAAAGACATGCATACAAGTCTGAGGGATAGTTCCTAATCCACTTAGCAGATGATACTGAGGCAAATGTTTGGCACTGTTGACAACTTGTCTGCCTTTCTACTGATGACTAGTTTATAGGAAAATAAATGAGTTTGCATGTGATAGAATATCATTTCACAGATAAATGAATGTATTTCCAAGAAATATGAGCAAGCTGTTCATGTAAATAAGCAGTACAAAGGAAGCATCATAGAAGGCTGCTCTATTAGGGCTAATTACTAGAGATACATACCAACTCTCAGCAGCTCAAGCAGCACAAGGTGGGTGTTGTTTTGCACTACTCGCCCATAGGGAAATGCTCAGGGTTGGATGGTAGAAGTGTAAATCAAATAAGAAGCTACCCTGAAATAAACACAAGATGCTACTCTTGCTAATTCTATCTGAGGAAATGTTCCAATGCAGATCAAGGGCAGTTCACATGACTTGCTTCATTGGTCATATTGCATGTCAAAATGACATGCTATCCCCATCACATGTAACAGGCTGGGATGCATAGTATGGCTACTTGCTGCTACAGGCATTGTTGAAGCAGGGAATCCAGTAGAGAATCAGAGGAGTAACATGACTGAAGAAGGCATGGGACACACTGTGATCATGTACCGGTATGTTCGGCTTTTGTGTAGCCTGCTCAGATTCCCTGTCCTGCATTCGAAAAACTGAATGTCCTTGATGACAGTTGTCTGTGGGTAATGGCAGTGCTCTGCTCTTGTACATGATGTGCACAGCCAAACTTGAATCTCTTTCCTGCCCTGTGGCACCTCCAGACAGTGGTATGTGCAGTGGTTCACTGTGCTTGGCCAATTCGAAATACCTGTTGAAAGCAAGCCTCAGTATCTACAATTCTGTGCAAGAAAGGCATGTTTCATCAAACAGCGCACGATCATTACAACTTTCTATGTCTCTTTTTAGCTTCTGTGCTGATCGGCATCTAGTCGCGGTGCACTATGGAGACGTCCGCGCTTTGTGCACGTGCAGTGCGCGTGTGGTCGGGCTCACCCTCGGCCGCCAGGATGGGCCGGGTGACGCGGCCACACGAGGAAAACTGTCGACGGCCCGCGTCCCTGAGCGCGGCCCACGGCTGCGCTCTATATAGCCGCGCTGGGCGCCGTCGCCTGGCAGTGCCGTCCTCACCCGGTCCGACAGCGTCATGGCATCGCCGGTGAGTGGGGCTCCGCCGGGCTGCCGTTACCGTGCAGGTGTCCACCGGCCAGGGGTGAAGCTGGACCCCAGTGGCAGTTCGCTCGGAGTAGGCGTTCGGCAGTTTGGCCCTTAATTGCATGTCTGAAATGGAATGTACGCGTGTAATATGCTTGCAGTCGGGATGTCCCTGCTCATGCGTGCGTGTAACCACCACGTGCGCAACGAGCTGGTCGCGGTGGGAGGCCTGACACGCGCAAGTTGGTCGCAGTTATAACCCGTTTCAATTAATATTTTGGGGTGACTCGCACGTCCATGGAAACTGGCCAGCAGCAGAGATTTGAACCCATAAGCAAAATTGTCTTGAAATCTACGTTTTCAGTTTGATGAGGTCTTCAAATAAGGATTTCTGATCGAAGTGGAGCTTTTCCATATGACTTCGTGATACCAAGCCTGCTCACCGACATCCCCGTGGTATGTTTGAGGATATGTATTGCTATGGTATGCCTACAGCGTGGTTATACTGACATTGCCAGAACACGACGGATTGAAGGCCTTTCTGAAAGGGTTCAGTGGCGTCGGAAAGGTTTTATAATTAAGAGGCTTACATATGTCAAGATCACTCTCCCGTTTATTTGTTATCACTTTTTTGCTTAGAGTTCCTTATGCACGCCGCGATCATCTTGGAGATGTTGATCGTAATTTTGACTCAATTGGAGATGGGTTCTACTTGCGTGATATGCGTATGTGACGTTATGTTTATTATATGCGATTTCCCTCGTTATTCTCACTACTGCAGTGTTCATCGCGTTACGACGGAAAACAAAGCAAACAGGTGGTAATGTAAAAAAACAGCTTATCTTTGGAAATAAGCGTTCCGAGAAAATCGACTTTTAGTTAGGTGCAATGAAGGCAGTGTTATCCCGTTCAGCATGTCTAACGGCATTGTCAGGCGTAGTAGGTGCTAACAGTCTCAAAAACCTTAAGATGATGGTCTCCGCACGTACTGCTCTCAAGGGTGATTATCTTAATTTTGATGAAATTAAGAGCATACAGATATCCCCATGCCACGTGTTGCCTGGCTATTGTGAGTGTTAGAAGTGAGGTGAAGGGCACCCTGAAAGCATGTGTACCGAACGAATACATCGGCAAATATTGTATCGATAATGATGTTGCGTTCGTCCGCAAAAATATACGCTCAAACATGTGCTGATGACTTCGTTGCATCCGCTCGTCATCGAACGAGCGTTCGTAATTTCTATGTTTAGCATAACATGCCAAAAATCGCAACGTCGCGCAAGCCCTGGTACACCGTGTCAGATCGAAAAGTCGGCTGGCTACCCTATTTTTCTGAGCCTTGCGAGTGCGTGTGGCGCGGTCTTACTAAGGGTGTCCTCGTCGCGAGCGTGAGTGCGAGTGTGTCCACGTCTCGCAGACCATCGGCTGGGCGGCTCTGGTGCTGCTAGCCGCCGCGCCGACCTCTGCGCAGCAGGGCGGCGCCGCGGACGCCGTCGAGACCCCCGTGGGAGGAGTGGCGCCCGCCAACGCCGTGGAGCTGGCTACCCGCAACTTCATCAAGTGAGGCTCGGCCGACGCTCGCGCACACGGGCTGGCAGGCTGGCTGGCCGGCATGGCACGCGCAGTGTCCGCTGCCGTCTGGTGTGTGCGCCGATTGCTGACGCTTGGACACTGATACGCCTTGTTAAGTCCCGGTTTGGTGGTATGTCGCCTTGTTGCGCCTCCCGGTGTGGCGTGGACTAGCTGTGAGCATAAATGTGTGTTGCGCGGACATCCTGTCATGCTTGCTGAGATTCCTTTGGAAATTTATAGCCTTTATTCGCTTAAAGCCGGTGTCATGTCGGTGTTTTCGTGTGCTGCTCCTGACTGCGCGCCCGGTGTGCTTTATTGCCAGGCTGTATAACCAAGCGGCAGCCCTGGCTGCTGCTGCCCCGGACGTGGACGCACCGCCACAGGAGGCGGCACCCGGCCAGCCGACCCAGCCGACGGCAGCGCCCTCTCTGACGCTCCCTTCGTACTCTCACTTCGGGGCGAATCCGTTCCCGTTCACGGCGCATCAGCAGCAGTTCTTCCAGCGGCCGCGGACGCAGCAGGACCAGTACCAGTGGCAGTACCAGCAGCAACTGCGGCACCAGATGCAGCCGCAGCAAGCACAGCAGCCGCAGCCGGTGCAGCACCCGCAGCCGGCGCAGCAGCCGCTACAAGTGCAGCAGGCACAGCAGCCGCAGCCAGCTCAGCAGCCGCTGCAGGTACAGCAGCCCCAGCCAGCTCAGCAGCTGCAGCAGACTCAGCAGCCGCGGCCGGAGCAGGCGGTGCAGCAGCAGCAGCAGCAGGTGGGCGGATCCCCCGCGGCGCCGACCGAGCCCATGCCTCTGTTTGGGCCACCAGACCCCGTAACTGAAACGCCAGAGGTGGCCGCTGCCCGGGCCTCCTTCCTCGAGAAGTACAACCAGCTGGCGGCTCTGGCAGCGGCGGCGCCCGACCCTCCGGCGCCGGCTCAACAGCGACGCTAGTTTGTCCGCGGTGCAGATCCGAGTGGGACGGACAGATCAAATTTCCAAAATACTCTGTCGGAAAAGTTTGCAAATAAGCGCCCATGCGGTGTGTGAAGACAAGATTCAAAGTGGATGAGTGGCTGATTTAGTTTTTGTCGTGTCTTGACTTGCTCTGCTCAGTGGTGCGAAAAATCCATATGTGTAGGACTGCTGCGCCTGCAATGTGGTTTGTTGTCTTAGGCTGTTATTTTGATGGTACCGTTCTATGGTGCTTGTGCGTGCCATCAGCTTCTTCTGTTCAGCTTTTTGTCACCGATGACGCCGTGCATGATGCGTGGTCTCTGCACAAAAATGGCATATTTCGCTGCGTGATTTCGTGCGCGTGTCGTAAAACATGGCACCTGCGATACTGCGTAACTCGTATATGTGTATCCGGACAAGCTTTTTCCAAGTACTCTCGGTACTTGATGTCGCCTTCGCAGACTTGTCGGTCAAATGTGCTCGAGTCTCGTGACAGGCGTGTTTTGTCTGCAGTGAGCGCACCTGCCTTCTCTTGTGCTGTTATGTCCTCCAAGAAATCGGCTACCCGAAACGGTTCAAATATTTTACCCCGGAGCTATTAAGCTTGTGTCATTCAATCTAGTTCCGCAGCTTCAAACAAAACTCGCTGGTAAACGGGAAAACTAGTGAACCTAGACTGTATTCCAGCTGAAAGAATGACAAAACTATTCCGATGCAGCTGACAGCGATAATGCATCATTTGGCAACCGCAGTTGAATGCGCGAACTGTCACGTCACGGGAAATGTAGCCGTGGGGATCGCGTGCGGATTGTCGAGTGGCATCGACGGTCTGTCGTTTGTGTCCATCTACACCGCATTTTTAGTCGCGATAGCCGTGTCCTCCGTTTATGGCTAGCGGTTTCCAAGGCGCGCAAGCACGATTTGACGGCAACACGATTAACTGGATGTCTCCAAACAAGCACCGCCCTGCGAGGCACTGCCTGGGCTCTGGGGATGATGAGTGCCTCTAACGTGCAGTGGGACTGCAGTACTGGACCGAAGTCTCCGTATAAGCGCAGTTATGGCTGGCTGGCGGCGGGCGCCAACAGTTTCAGTTCTGAGGCCTCCGCCCAGATGCCATGGCGGCGGCGCACACCGCCCGGGACCGGTCATTCGATCGGCGGTGGGCCTGTGAGAAACTGAGGCACGGCGGCGTATCACGCATGGTGGAAAGTGATCTGAACCCATCGTAGTTGAGAAATGCAAGATCGCGCGGCTGCAGCGGGATTGGGGCACTGGGCAACCGGATTGGGGAAAGGTTATTGGGGGATGGGAGACGGGGATTTGGATACTGGAAAACGAGGATTGGGGAACGGTCATTGGTGGTCTGGGAAACGGGGATTGAGAAACGGTTGGTGGGGCTGGGAACGGAGGTTGGGGTACTGGGAAACGGGGATTAGTGGCCTGGTGAACGGGGATTAGGAGGCCGTGGAATTGTGGATTGGAGTATTGGGGAACAGGGACTGGGGAACGGGGATTCGGATGGATACCGGGGCCGCGCGTGACTGGGTATGACTGAACTACGTCTGTCCGAGTAATGCAAACCTGCATCAGGTGCGGTCACGTGGGCACGGATCAGGCCCGCATCTGGTTAAACACCAGACGAGGCAAACGCTGTTCAAACCTACAGTTCAGCATGTTCAGTGAGCTCGCCAGCTGGGTTTTATACATTGTAATGGCGAACCCACACATTTATAAATGGCCTCACAAGTGCACATGCATATCAAGCGAGTTGGCTTAACACGCGCCCGGATGGCCGGCTGGATGCTCTTCGCTCGGGTGGGGAGTCAATTTGCCCCCCCCCCCCCCCTCCTGAGATCTCGGGAACTGAGAGAGTTAGAAACACCAAATTTACAGGGTGTGTTGACCTGTACGTGAACTCTTTTAGGTCAAAGTTGAATGCGCTTAGTGCGACGTTGTATCAAATGAGACTTTGGACGTTTGATCTTTGGATCAAATGAGGTCAAACGAGGTCAAATTCCAGATTGGTTTCCAAGGACTCCTAGAACCCAGGAGCTGTTCTAAGCAAAATTCCACACGCTCAGTGAAGGTCAGTGACCTTGTTTGACCTTTTAACAAGCGCCCGGGTGGCCGGTTGAATACCCTTTGCTCGGGTGGAGGTGTCAACTTGACCCCTCCCCTGAGGTCTCGGGAACTAAGGGAACTAGACACCAAATTCACAGAGTGTGTTGACCTGTACGTGAACTCACTTAGGTCAAGGTTTGAGATTCCTAGTTGATGACCTTTGTGTCAGGTAAGGTCAAACAAGGTCAGAGTCCAGATTGGCCTTCAAGGGAACCTGGCCAATTGTTCTAAACAAAATGTCACACGCTCAGTTAAGGTCATTCACCTTGTCTGACCTTTTAAAGATCTTGGTGACAAAAATGGTATAAGACTGCTTTGAGTTTTACATTTGGGTGAGCGACAAAGGACTATGCTGGATGGCATGTTCCTAAAAACAAAATGTTGACCTGGATCATTATAGGTCAGTGATTTATTCTGACCTATAAAAGTCCATGGAAGGTTATAGCAGGGTTCCTGCTGTCAATACATTCGAAATGAATACCAGAAACCAGCCCATACAGCAAGCCCGAGAGTAAAAAAACAGGTTGGTTTTGACCTTGATCTGACCTTCATACCTGACCCTAGGTCAATGATATTTGTTTATTCAATTGTTGTGTTGCCTAAGAAAGTATCTTAGAGATGTATGGCTTTGTCTAACATTCCGTTGTTTGATCGGATTGAAAGTTTCCCTAGAAATTGCCTTCCCTGAAATCACGGCCCGACTTTGACCTTCCATAGGTCAGCGACCTTACAAGGCACACCTATATTTTTATGCCAGCTGATCTACAATTAAGTGTTGTGCAGTAAGCAAAATTTGGCGCGGCTACGCAGCGCCGTTCGGAAACTAGTTCTGGGAAAACCCTCAGGGGGTTCAATTTGACCCCCCAGCCTAGCGTGTGTTAAATGACGCGACTGAGTTTCGAATGACTGCAAATAAACACACGGTTTACGAGCGGCTTCCGCGGGCCCGAGGCAGACAGGCAAAGTAGAGTGTGATTCTAGACTCTGAACTTTACCCTCCGAATTAGAACGATCCCAATTAAACAAATAGCTGTATATCTATACATAACTAAGGTAGGCAGGCTGACAGTGCTTCTTCTCTCTTCGCTCTTCCGCTCTTCGTTCTTCGCGGTGCCGCGAAGCACATACTACTGGGCCTTCCTGCGCCGATCAGCGGGATGGTGATGGCTGACTTTACAACACCAATTACGCCACGACGAACACGTCAAAGGAGTAAAATGTTCCCGTCTCAGCAGGTCGAGGCCGCGATAGGGGCGGGGTTGGGACATTGAGAGTCAGAGAATGTCAAATTATTGGATGGGTTGGTACACCATCTGGCCACCACCCGGCGCCTTCCGTCGTATGTGTTGTACGTAAACCTGCGTGTGGGTAAGGCAACCTTTTGAAAATATCACTATCATCCTTATAAAAAGGTCGTTATGAATATGTGAAAGCTGTGAAATGCCTCTGGGCACCCTATGGAAGGTTTAATGGACCAATGACAATCAGTGATGCTCGGTTCTTCATTGTGCCTAAGTCTGCCTGAACATAGGCTCAGAATATTGTAAGGAAAATGGTTCCCACCTGCACGCTGACCTTACCTGATCTTTTTGCTACGATTTATGCTAACTCGTGAACAGAGCGCAATTATGAGTTATGGATGCAGTAAAAAGCACCAGTTTTACGCTGGTATACGAAGATGTGCTGAAAGGATGTTTCACGCGGACAAACACCCTGAAAGAATGAATGGACGCCATATGGTCAACGTAGCCGGTACACCCTACAGCCCAAATCATCATCATGATATAGAAGCCTGAGATGATAAGGATTAGAAAAGGCGCTTAATTATGACGCAATTGTTTACTCTACATTGCCTTCCAGTCCTCCATTTTACGCCAGCCGAGCTAGTGTCGCAAATGAGGTGACCCTGATGGCATTGTCCATTTGGCATGAAAAAAAAACAGTTCATAGCAGTAGGTGGTTAAGACGTCAAATCGCGTGTCCGCCGACAGCTGAGGTAGGAAAAGAACAGACCGTGGAGAATCCAGGGTAACTAGATGCCATCACTAGCCGTGCCACAATTCGTGCGAAAAGTTGCAGAAGTGGTCAAAGAGATGTGGTCCGTGAGAGAGAGAGAGAGAGAGAGAGAGAGAGAGAGAGAGAGAGAGAGAGAGAGAGAGAGAGGAGAGAGAGAGAGAGAGAGAGAGAGAGAGAGAGAGAGAGAGAGAGAGAGAGAGAGAGAGAGAGAGAAGAGAGAGAGAGAGAGAGAGAGAGAGAGAGAGAGAAGAGAGAGAGAAGCGCGTCAGGGAGAGGAGAAAGAAAAAGAGAAAGAGAGAGAGAGAGAGAGATCGAGCTCACGCCTTGGTCGTTGAATGAACATTATTAACAGCTTTGCTTTGCTGCGGTTTGGATAAGTGCCCTATCGGCCAGCTACGGGAATTTCAGGCTCATTGAATGGAGGAGAGTGATTTGTGGTGGGACAAGATTGCATGCATCTGGGAGTCGTCTTGTGTCCGAGCCTACCAAGGCAGAGACCCTCTGCGAGATACTGCGGGCGTTCGGGCAGGGTTCCCGCATAGTGAGCCCAGGGGAACCCCCGCTCCCCGCCAGGTGAAGCTCGCGCTCCCTGCCAGGCGAAGATCCCGCTCCCAGCCAGATGAAGTCCCCGCTCATGGCCCATAAGGAGCGCTGGACCCGGATAACCGGAGCGGTGCGGGGTCCGCGATGAAGCGTGAATGGGGAAAGAACAGCGGATATACGAACACCATTGAGCACGTGTTTTGTGTGGTGCCTTACACAATCCCGGATGTGGCCAAGGCCTTACACAATGCCGGATGTGGCCAAGGCCTTACACAATCCCGGATGTGGCCAAGGCCTTACACAATCCCGGATGTGTGAGGCCGTGCTCGAAATCGATTTGCATCTCGCTTTTTTGGGGGCGGAGGAGGCTCTGATTATAGCGTATGGATTAATTTCGCAGATAAATTGTATTCACCGATTTCTAATTGTGTTTGGCTTTGGAATTAGACTTGAGCTTACGCCGATGGAGTCAGATTTGGTTCCAAACCCACGTAAGGAAAAATCTAGCTTTGGTTCAGCTTGGTTTGATTCCGTTTGGTTCAGTTCGGCGCAGTTTGATCTGGCTGGTTAGCAGGCTGTGCTAATGGGTTAGGCTATGTCAGGTCATGCGGCCTACCAGAAGAACCAATTGCGATATATACTACCGGTGGCATGTATTCTCCGAGTTATCATGCGTCTCTGGCAGCCTCTGTTACACGCGATCAAGAAAGTAACTGACGAGCGTAGCCACGAGCACAAGGTACGCAATAGGAGGTGGACTTCGTCACGAACCCAGGGTCAATGGGAAGCTGGTTCAGACAAGGCTCATATTCATTGAAACAGATGAGTTCGGAATAGAACTCGCGCTCCAGGCTCTGTGACTGGCACTCCGTAAGAGAACAATGATGACAAAGCGGTGACGATCACGTGGACATTAGGGATTTACCTTAGACTCAAACCTAACTGGTAATCGGACCAGGACAGGAGCTCATGCGTCTTACTAGGACTAGTGCCTGCTGAACAGCATGACCAGAGACCACTTACAATTGTATCTGCAGTGGCACCGCCCAGGCTGCGTTTTGGCCAACAGCACACCGACGTATTCCATGCTCGAAATGAGTTCTATTGCAAACTCAGACAGGCTATCGACACGCACCTTGAATTTCCCAGCTGGACTGGATGTCATCCAGTACCCTTGAATCGTAGAAAGTGCGTGAGGGCCAAGGACGGGGCCAAGATGGCACGAACAGGAAAACGCCCGGCGCGCTAGCAGCTGGCCAGCGCTTCGCTGAGCTGATGCCCACCATATAAGCCGGGGCGACAGCAGCTGCGGACAGTGCATTCTGAGGCACCGCTTCCACACCATGCACTCGCTGGTGAGGTCACCGCTCGGGGTCCTGAGCATCGAGACGGCCAATTGACCTAGTGTCCAGCTGGGTTGACCCAGGGGTTCAGTCAGGATTTTCTTAGCGGGGAGGGGGCGGAGCTCGGTGTGCACGCGTCACCGTACTTTTCAGCTTTCTGTTGGGGAAGACCTATGGTGAAAAACAACACAATCCGGGCCTGCGGGACCACCCCTCCCCCCCCCCCCCCTCTCTCCTTTGGTTGCACGTCTGTAGTGACCGATATCTGCACAAAAGAGCCAAGCGTAGACCAAAGGGTCGCGCCGCAGCTTCAACACACCGACCTCTTCTTCAAACTACGCGTTCAGGCCGGCAGTGGTAGGCACGTGACCCACCCGCCCCACCGCATCCCACACTCCGTCAGCAAACACGTGACCCACCCCGCCCCGCCGCACCCCGCACTCCGTCAGCAGACACGTGACCCCGCTGACCCCGCTGACCCTGCTGCCGTGTCCCGCAGACCGTCGGAGCCGCCCTGCTGTTCCTCGCCGCCCGAGCGTCGGCCATACCCTGGGACTCGAAGCCCGGCTACCACGCCAGCTCGCACAAGGAGCCGGTCGGCGGTCCGGCGCCGCCCGATGCTGTCGAGAAGGCCAGGCGACGATTCTTCGAGTACGTGCGCTGCGGAGAGCACGGTGTGCGGGTTGGTGGACGCGCGCTTGGGCCAGGAGGATGGGCTCCAGGTCCAGATGCGGATGTCATCCGAGAATTTTGCGATCATGAACGTGCAGCTGTCACGAATTCACGACGATCCTCGTTCCAAATTTATTTTGCTGCATCAGTTTCTCTGAGGTACAGCGTAGATATATGATATACTCTCTCTAGCTTCTCTGGGATACTTCTTCGGGAGACACGTTTTGCCCGGCCAATACACACGTTCTCTGTCGGCAGGCTCTACAACAAGGCGGCGGCACTGGCGGAGGCGGCACCGGACATAGCTGTGCACCACGGCTACTCTCAGTCCCGACACCACAGCGCGCCGCACCACTCGCAGCACCAGTCGCGCCACTCGACCCAGCAGCACCACGGAAGCCTCCGCAGCGGGTCGCGGCCCACCCACCCGCCGGCCGAGACGGATCCGCTGGCGGGCCCGCCGGAGCACGTGACCGACACGCCGGAGGTGAGCGCCGCCCGAGCCGCCTTCCACGAGCAGTACCAGGAGCTGGCCGCCGCGGCCGCCGCCGCGCCCGACCCGCAGGGCCCGCGGCAAGCGCACCGCTCCGGGCCCCGCCACCACTCCTCGCACCACCAGCAGCACTCCTCGCACCACCAGCAGCACCGCAGCGGGCCGAAGCCGACCTACGGACCGGCCGCCACCGACCCGCTGTCGGGCCCTGTGACAGACACACCGGAGGTGGCCTCCGCCCGGGCCGCCTTCGAGAAGCAGTTCCAGGAGCTGGCCTCGCTGTCCGCCGCCGCGCCCCACCACGGCTACGCTCACTAGACTAGTGAGCGTACTAGTGACAGTAGCAGCGGGCCATCGGAAGCCCAGCCCATTGGTGTGTCAGCGCACAGCTCTTTCGTTACATCCTCCGTTCCCCGTTGATTCGTTGTTTAGCTTTCGTACGTTTTTCTCACACACTCACTCTTGCTGTTTATGTCTATGGAAATGGTCCTTTGTATGACGGTATATGTACTATATACCTGCTGATGTTTTTCACAGTGATGTTGTCATGATGCGTCTTTAATCCTTGTTGCCTTGTCCTTGCATGCTATTGTCATCATGATTAGTCTGCTAACGTCGGTTTCGTTGTCCCAGTCGTCCACAACACCGAGAGGTCTCACGCACTTCTTCGCATGATTAAAAGTTTGATCATTCATCGAGGGATGCGGGAAGCTTGTTCTGATTGTACGTGCATGGCAACTGTACAGCAATAAAACAAGTGCTTCCAGCATGATCACACAGTCCATGGGCTAAGATGGGCCCGTTTAACTTGGCTGCAGCCGAGTTTAAACTGGTCACTTTTTGACATCGAACACTGGATTGGGGCCATAAAATGAGTCGGTCCTCCATAAAACCGAGTCCTCCCTGGGTTCCCGGATGCGTCGCAATCAGCAGCATGACTCAGGGTTGGCGTGTGAGGTTATGCAAAACCGGCGATGACCTCGGCTGTGGCAGCGGACTGTGCAGGCACGTTCCTTGAACCCCAATGCGTGGAAAGCATTGGAAAGCATGCATGATAGTTGTGGTACAGCGTTGTGGCGACGAACTTTTCTCCTTCTTTTTATTTTCTCCTTTCTATCTATTTTTGCCGGTTCCTATTTCATTAGTCCGGGTTCTGATGCGTTGGTCAACACATTTTCTTTATGGTGATTTGTGTTTAGACCAACATTCCCCCCCCCCCCTCACAGCGTGTGGCAGACGTATACGTCCAGTGGGTTCGAAGTTCCAACCTTTGGTTCGAACCGCATCCACGAGATAGTTAAATTTACATGTGAGGGGTTTCATCCCCCGGCGAGGAGAAACGCTGGCCATAGGCGGCCGTATTATGACTTTGCATGATGCCCTGAGTTCACCGAGGACAGCTAATACGCAGGTTTTTATAATCTGTACGTGTCCTTGGGGCACATGCCCTCCCCGCCCCCTTACCAAGTTTATGGCATGTATTTATTTTAATCTAGTGTGCACAGAAATGGTGATTATATCATGTATGAATGGTATAGATGAATTATGTAAGTAACTGCATGTCGGCAATCAAAAATTTCGGGTCGACACGTAAGAATCGGAACACCGAGGATATGCAATACTATGTTATGACACGCAAGAACCGCGCGCGCTTAATGTGACGCTAAACGCGGTCTTGAGCTTCCCCATCTTAAGATTCTGCGTACATCCCGTGTCTGAAGAACAATTTGATTAACAATCTGCTCCAAAATGTTTCACACTTAAGACCGCTTGGGTGATGGGCTGGTCATTGCAACCAGCTGTGATTACGGATCGATATTTAATTACGGCACTCGAGTAAATTTTTGGGACTGCCACACAAGATACAAATAGTCACACATTTGGCTACAAACCGTGGCACAACGAGACGCTACTCTCAATGTTCAAAGGCTTGTTCTTGAAGCATTCCATCATCTTCATGGACGTAACGACGTCTGAAATGTTACTTGGGTTCATTTCCTTGTTGGCTGCCCCATTATGTGGTCAGAGTTGTCAAAAGACCAACATGCCAAACGTCGCTGATGTCCGAACCCCTCGTCCCCAGGTGGTTGCGCCCATGATTATATTAGCGTTACAAAGGTTACGCAGTTACCCAAAAACAGATGGTGGAACGCGTTTATTTTGCTTTCTACAACATGTGCACCGGACAGTGTATTTCTGAAAACTGAAAAACCTCCTACCTTGAATGCAATTGATGTACGACAGCTGGATTGCTGATGACACTTACGCTTTTTAACATGATACGGCGTCTGATGTCGCTGAGCTGGTGCATTTCGTAATTAAGCAATTATGTCATGTTTGTGACGTGATATGCTTTGTGCACAACCTTCAAATTTGTTGTGTTGAAATACAATGCTTTTAAATGGCTTCCATGTCCGTTGGTAATAGCTCTTTTGTCAATGTCAACGGCATTGTTGTCTAGATGTGCATACATAACTGAACTGTGAGGACGAGAAGTCATGCATAGCACTGCGCGTAAAGAACATGATGCCATACGGTTGTATTATGTGCGTAGACAAAACTACAAGTGTTTTTGATCTTGTCACGATGCATAGCATTATTGCTTGCCACAAAATATGCGTTACGTCAGTTTGATCGACGTCGCATAAGAGGCCGTTCATATATCACGTGACGTATGCAGAAGGAGAGGAGTCTGGTTGAGCGTAACCAGTGTTACAAGGGGAACGGTCGGATAACGCAAAGCCACCCTCAAGTGCAGTCACAAATCATACTGAAGTTTTTAAAGTGTTTTAAGACGGTAAAGACAGAAAGCGCTGGCTCCCTCTTATGACAGGCACCATGCCCGTCTTTATTTCGCAAATCTAACTCAATTAGGAGCCAAACGAACAATACCTTTTTGGCGTTAGAGCGTAACAACGGGAACAGGGGTGTTTCGCCCAGCGTAGCCACTGCGTGACCAAGGGGAGAAGGGGAGGGGGCCTAAAAAAGACAGAAGTGTGAAACATAATAAGCAGACGGTCTTAAGGTCATCGAAGAGGTGGTGACAACTTTACGGCTACGTGGGCCCATGGGGAAGGCCACCCAACGTTTTCCGAAAAAGTCCCATCCTATCCCGTGCTAACATTATTTTCTACATCCAATCCGTCCTATTTTTCCACTTGGTTTGACGGCTTTAAGTGTTCCACGACATGCGTATATGGAAATCCACCGGAGGGTCTGCAGTCTTCCTGGGTACTCATGAATCCGGGGGGGGGGGGGGGGGAAGGGGGCGGTATCATCCCGATACGGCTCGTGATCCCAGAGCTACAACCTTTCTCCTCTCAAGCTGTTTGACTTTACCACCAGGACCACGAGCCGCCGCGGTCGCCGCGGCCACCGCGCCACGCTACTTATGCATCAGGTTCTCGGGTAAGTACAGGTCGCCGAACTGGTCGTTGAGCCGCGAACTGCCCGGCCGCTCCTTCAGCTCGCGGAAGATGCGCTCGAACACCTCGTTCTTGTCGTCGGTGACGGGCACCGGACGCACGCCGTCCCCCGTGCCGACGAGCAGGTACGGCCGCCCGTTGACGTACTTGATGCTGTCGCGCATCTCCTGCAACACCTCGCGGTCTGAGCGGGCGCCGGCGACGGGCGCCGACGACGACGACGGCGGCGGCGGCGGCGACGTCGTCACCGTCGACCAGGTGGACACGGCGCCCCGGTCCATCGACATGCCGTAAGTGTAGGTGGTGGTGGGTTTCTGATCTGGGCGCGTGACGGCCCAGGCGGACTTGCCGGCGCCGGCGCCGTCCGGGCGCAGCACCCGCTGCAGCACCGTGTTGGCGTCGTCCTGGCGCGAGAAGGAGCCGCAGCGGCGCGCCAGTCGGCCCCAGCCGATCTCCAGCATCAGCAGCGCCACGCCGCACCCGTAGGAGGTCAGCAGGATGTAGTAGATCATGCGCAGCTCCTCGTTCATCAGTTTGGTGCCCTGGATGCCCTTGGGGATGGCGCAGGGAGCCGCGTCCACCTCCGCGTCCCGTTTCCATTTGTTGGCGATGCCGGACATGACGAGCCAGTGAACGCTGAAGGGCAGAAGGGTGAGTCATGAGCTGCATGCACCGGAATGTCCCCTGATGTGCAGTGCAGGTCATCGGTGTGAAACACAAGCCAGAATATTATGCAAATTAGGCACGATTGCACCGAGACCTGAGTGAGCAACATAGTCATTGTAGATGACAAGAGTGGATGACGAATCCCTTTTGCAAGTCGCTGAGAAACTACAACTATAAGATGTATATTCGGAGCAAAAAATATTCTAACACAGGTTACGCAACAGGCTTCCAAGACTGGACAGGACCCAAACAAGACAAGTAAATAATGGGTCCCTAAGCACGTCCATAACAACCTTTTCCACGTGCATAGATCCACGTCAAATGGCCATCACCTTGTGAACTATCACAAACATTTTTAACCGGAGATGCTGTTTGAACTAAGATTGCAGTTGTAAAAATTATCCTATCCTAATCCTTGTAAAAATAGTATGAGTTCAGAATGCGCGTGTTTAATGAAGTGATACATATATATGCACATGAATATATATATATATATATATATATATATATACATATGTTGGAATATTTTGGCAAAATCCTTTCTTTTATACATGTTTGACTAAAAATACCTGCCGACTCAGCACTGACGAGCTTTTTGACGCATCGTTCTAGTTTCCGGGCCTTTGGCTTGGCATTATCGCTTAGATTAAAGATGGTTCGCACAAAATTACTCGTATATTAATCGCTCCTTACCTTCTAACGTTTCGAGATTCTATCTCATTGTCGGAGAAGATTGAATGGCACAAGAAATACGTTTTTAGTTTTAAAGGATAAAAAATTGTGCACTACTACTGGAAAGCATCTTTTGGTACCGAGAACACAAATGAAGCATGGCTAATTGAAGAAAGACAGAGTCCCATTTACAAGATACATATACGGAACACTCATAATGGGAACACTACAAAGACACAATAAGAACACTATTGCCATATTCACATCAATAGTGTTCACCGGTCACTACCTAATAGTTCAGGAGTTGTGCAAGAATTTGTTTGTCTGTTTAGGGCCGGAGAGAGTTCGTTAATGCGTCATAATTCATCAAGTCGTTGGCGTCATAAGGTCCTTCATTAGACTTGCATTTAAGCACTGCTCTAATTGTACAGGACTACATTCAGAATTGGTTAGAATCAGACAGATTTTGGTGAACAACAGTTTTTCAAATCCTGACGTTAAAAACGAAATACCACGACCTATGACAAGATACTTTGACAGAAGACCAAGACAACGCATCTAACCAGCCTTCAAACTATTTTATCAAAATCAAATGAAATCTGCCCACAAACAAGACGAAAAACCTTTACGGGAAATTTTATCTCGACGTGGTAGAGACAAAAACGACCACAAAATAGATATCGTCATTTATTATCGTAATAAGACAATATCTAACTTTCTGGTGAGAGACAGCCCAGACAAACCCGACAAACTAAAATGCACCAATGTAGTGCATCAATTCGGATGCAGCATCGAAGGCTGCAAACTTCGTTCCACACACTACATTGGTGTGACCACAACACTCATGACGCCTAACAATGCATTTACGTCACGGGGCACCACTGGACCACACGCGACACTAGCACGGCATGACATTGAAGCAACAACTGACAGACAACACTGACATCTTACGGACGTTTAATGACAGAAGACGCCTTCAAATTTGAGAAGGCATATTCATTAACGAACTCCCTCCTGCGCTAAACAGACAGACAAATTCTTGCACAACTCTTGAACTATTAGTTGGTGGGCGATGAGCACTATTGATGTGATTGTGCCAATAGTGTTCTCATTGTGCTTTTGTAGTGTTCCCTTATGAGTGTTTCTTATATATATATATATATATATATATATATATATATATATATGCATGTATGTATATATGTATGCATGTATGTATCCTGTAAATAGGACTCTGTCTTACTTCAATAAGTCATGTTTCATTTGTGTTCTCCGTACCAAAAGATGATTTCCAATAGCAGTGCACAATTTATATATATATATATATATATATATATATATATATATATATACATATATATATATATGTACACAAAATCCTGGCTTGTACCTAGATAGATTTTTCCGATGTGATCCACCTAAAATGTTTACCGCTCTAAGCGATAATAGCCTAGAGAATGTTGGTGAGGAGGCCGACCTTGCCTGTCGCTGGAAATCGCAGGAAAATGGATGCCGAATATAGAAAGCCGGAAAGAGCCAAACCATGGATTAAACAGATAGCTATCAGTACCATACAGGTGGCTGGAGATTACAATGCATAAGGGTATTTGCAGCCTTATTGCCCGGTGGAGAAAGTACATACATCAAGTATGGAAGGCTCATAAATTATTCATAGGAATGTTCCGTAACTTGTTCAGTGCACTAGCGGGTAACATTATTCACATAAATGAGAAAGTAGTATTAGCGTTATTCCTCAGAGAAAAAACAGGATAATGGAGGTATAGTTGGGTTGATATTGCGGCAACATGCCTTTGTGGACGCATACACATAAATGAAGGCCATGCGATTGTTATTGGCTGGCGAGCGTAAGGTACCGGCGCCATAACGTGAGCTCTCGCCCAAAGAGAAAGTTCAACCTCCACTAAACTGCAGCGTCGCTGGCCGTTCTCCGAACGCGCCCCGCGCTTCTTCGGCGTCAGCTGGTGACAGCCGTGCACCAAGGCTACCGTGGTCTGCTGTGCCGGTCGCTCCATGCCTCAGTGGTGTACCACGCCCGGCTCCGCGACAGGTTCTCTACCCTATATCGGGCGTACGAGACCGGCGGCACGCCAGCCGCCGCCACAGGCACGGCGTGGTCGCGAAAGTCCGCAGCCAAGCTGTGAGGCTCGACGATTCGCACTGATTTGTGGGACAACATTGCGCTTTGCCAGTCGACGCCTGTCAATGCGTGTCGTGCTCTTGCATCGAGCAGCGCTCCAGATGCATAGGTGATGTGGTTCTGAGACGTGGCGCCGATTTTTGTTCTGGTGGGCGTATTGCGTGACGGCAGGAATGGCCAGAACAAAAGGTGGCACTGAAGCAATGCGACTGCTATTGGCTGGCGAGTGTTTATGCTGCATGTGTTCGGCTTGTAGACTTGTCATTGCTCTCACTCACAAAGGGTCGAAGGCTTGGTTGAATGACGAGCCCTTGGGCGCGGCTAGCGAGTACTTGATGTACTCATCCTTGAGGGGCACCACATACACGTGGCAGGTGCGGTTGCTGGAGTAGTAGTCGGCCATCATCATGGCGTTCAGCTTGGACACCTCGTCGATGTAGACGTACGCTGTGATTATAGAAGGCGATGTCTTGCATGTAGGTATACATTGCTCCCAAACGCCATTAGATGACGCATTCGACCTGGACATTTGCCATCGGCAGGCGAGACGTTACTGTTGGCATGAAAATAGAGACGCTTAATTGATAAAAATGTTCTGGCACTTTCTATTGCATTCGTAAATTTGATTCCTTTAAATTTCAATGGGGAGCATGAAGGCAAAATACTTGTATTATGAACGCCAAACGAAAGGTGCAGAATGAAACGTATTTTTCCATTGCAACTAGTGCATCACTATCATCTCATCGTGTCCACAACCTCATGCTAACACCCACCTGAACTGCGGACTTTGTCAATAGTCTTGGACGCCGGTTCGTCGGGACTGATGAAGGAGCCCTTCCCGGCCCTTCTCATCCCCATGAGGACGTCGGAGCTGTTGACGTACATCTGGATGCTGTCCCCTGTAATGTATAACACAAACAAGCGCGTCAGAATTAATGACTATCCTAGTGCAGCTGGATGCTGCTGTTACATATACGCAGACAGAAGTAGACATCAGATGGCGGGCTGTCGCGTCAGAGTGGGCATTCCAGACCGCCAGGTGGCGTCTTGTCTCCGTATTTCGAATATGCTTGCCCGTTGGACGTTAGATCATCCGCAGCCCGCAGGTAATGCGAGATATTGCCCAGTTTAGTCAGGGCTACTCAGATCAAATGAACGATTCAATCCGCATCCAAATAATATTTGCAGTCATAAGCACCCGCAAGTAAGGATTCCCTCCGCAGCTACGGCAAGGTAAAGGTCTTACATCAATACATCATCACGTCAT